TGAGCCAACATGAACAATATCAGCAGCCTGTTTGTGAATAACAGTTATGTATTAGGAGCCGGGAACTTCAGTGCTGTTGAAAGCTTCTTCAGTATCACTAACAGCTGATTCTATCTGAAGAGAAATACTGATATTGGCTTTTATATTTGTACCATCTGACACAAGCCTGTTAAGTCTAAAGAAAGAACAGCTCCGGCTGTTTGACTCTTCCTTGTGTTTCCCTGTCCCTCTATGTTTGTGTGTGAGTGGTGGGCGTGGCTTACCTCTCCTGGCACCTTGCTTATCTTCACACCTGTCTACTATCAGACTAAAGCTCACACTCTGTCTGCTTCAAGACAAACAGTAGTGTTTAGTTTTTAATGTTTGCAGTAGTTTTCAGGGGTTTTACATTCAAAATAAAGAACGTATAAGAACATTAATTTCTTCAAAGTTGCTGAAGACAGTTAAAATGTATCTGTAACTTCCTTATACCAAAGGTCAGGTACAGGCAATAAAAACTGTCCCACAAAGTCCAAAGATAGTGAGAGCTGTAATCAGCAATAAACAGGAGCAATGAACAAATGTGTCTGAATATGTTTTCACATATGGACGTATGTGAAAGCTTCAATGAACAAATCCAACAGGAATATCTTCCTGTCAGTGTTTAAGACTGAAGATGTCTCACACTGGTCAGATCATCACACAAAGGGAAACAGAGGCCTTTAACATGTCTGTTAACTTAAAATTAACTTGAAAGTCTTTCAGGTTGTGAAGGAGAGCGAGTAAAGAATCTCCTTCTATCTGCTGCTAATAAAAACAGATGCTGTATTTCCACCATCAATGATTAACCAATGAAAGGTTGTAAAAGAGAAATCAGACTGTGACCTTGTTAAACAGAACCACGCCAACAGTGCTAGTGCACTGTGGGAGATCTCTATTGAACGACGCACATTCAGAGGACTGAAAGAGTCAAAGTGAAGGGAAACAACAGTTGGTGAGTCTTTCAATGACAAACACTTTGGACAAACAGAGAAAATGGCTGAAAAGAACACTGTCGTAGAAGGTTTCCTGAACTTATATTTGTAAGATTTCTGGATGTTCTGATGAGTTCTTTCAGTTTGGATCATGTTTTAATTTCAGTTTTGTGCTTGGGAGACTGTGTTAGGGAAGCGCAATGCATCCTGGGACTGGACCCCTAAACTAAAGAGGGCAGATGTTGTTCCCTTGAAATAGTCGCCATTTTGTTTTTTCTGTTGCTGCTAGATGCTAATAGAAGCATAAATAAAATGATGTCAACATTTAAAAATAATTTCCTCAGAAAGTGTCAGAGGGTATTGGCATATGATGGTTGTGACAGGAAATATTAACATGAAGATTTTAAACATTAAAATTATAAATATATCTTAACCTTACCATCACTATTCCCGCTCTCCTCTCTCTAACCTCGGGCTCGACACATGACAGAGGAGACACAGCTGGAGCAGACTGAAGGAAACAGGCTCAGTTGTGTGTTTATTGTGTGTGCAGCAGGAAAAAGAATAAAGTCGTCTTGTTCAACAATCCCTGTGGTTGGTCTATGTGCTGGGAGAACCCTCGTTAGTAGCGAGTCTTGCTACATTTACATTATATTTCCTTTCTTTAATGCCCTCTTTGCCAATTCATCCACTCTCTCATTTTCCATCACCCCTACATGTGCTGGAAATCACAGAAACTTCACCTGAGCTCCCTGGTTTGTTATTCTAGAGATTGATTGAATCTCCACTGTATAAACCCCTAACTGATTGGATGTTCTTCTGTTGATTCCTATAGTTTTTTCCAGTATTGCCACCCCACATCCTGTTAGTCCTGTCTCAGGTTTCTTAGCCCCATCTGTATAAACTTGTAAAAATCCATTGTACTCTCTCAAAACATGATCATTGAATGCTCTTACCAAATCAGTTTGATCTTTTTCTTTCCTTTTTGCTTCTAACAAATACCTAACAGTCTATTTCTGGTCACACAAGCATTCATGGAGCCACCACCGGATAAACTACTGATGGGCTCATCCTAAAATCAAACACCCCTACCTTCTCCCTCTGACTCCTCCTATTCTCCCAGCACTCCTTTAACACTCCTTTTGTAGGATGACAAACACTGTGACTCTTTAAATTCGCCCAAGAGTTTGTCATCAGTTGAATCCTCTCAGATCTAAAGGCATTTCTCCCATTGCTACCTGTAGTGCAGATACTGGTGAGATTTTAAAAGCCCCACTGCACACTCTCAATGCCTGAATCACATCTGGTTTCTTTACTAGAGACTTATCTGCTGATCCACACACTACACTGCAATAATCCAACACAATCTCACCTTTGAACTCAATCAACACCGTTTCACTGTCCATTTTCACTCCTTCTTCTGCTGTTTTCAGTCTTTGTGCATTTATTATTTTCCCTCCTTTGACATTCCTCTGTAGCTCCTCCATACCCACACTTACTGGCACCCCAGTGATCACTCCTTTACATCCATCACCCCTCCTGTGCTTTCCACCTTATTTTTTCCCATTTCTGTTAATCTGAGTGCTTTTCTAGTTCTTCCTAATTTTCACACCACGCCAACAGATTGCGATCAATAAGAACCTTTGCGTATTGTATTTTCCTGATCTCACTTGCCAGAGCTGTAGTTAGCACAAGCAGATTAACTATTTTATCTATTAACTCATAGATTTCCTCATTTTCTGATCTCTGTTCATGATCTTTTCTTATTCTTTTCAATACTTTGCCTCGATTTTCATTCATCTGACCCTTCATTTTTTCATACTCCTCATTTCTTGCTTCATCATAATCCATATCTGCCCAATGGCCGACCTCTGATCCGTTCACATTTTGTAGATTTGTTTCTCGGTTATGTCCTTGTAAAAGTTGTAAAATGAGTGAGTTTGGTCTCATGTAGATTTGACCGCTTTGACTTGAGAGGAAAAGCAGAAAACAAACTGAAATCTAAGT